CATGTTCAGCTTTTCATCCACCCATGTCTGCCCCCCTGCCACAGGCAGCTCCCGCTCTCTCCCCAGGGGCACAGCCCACTCTCGCCCTTTCCCAAGCCAAAGCCACCTCTCCCAAGGGTTACAAATAACCTGGGCAACAGGAACACGCTAACACATTTTCTTAAGCACACAAAAACGCCTGGAGGTAGTCTGAATCCTGAAATTAAGAACCACATAGCAAATTCTGGGCAAGTATTCAGGGCTTGATGGACTTACCTAAAAATAAATTTCTGTGTGGAGTGTAACAGAAATACAGCTCCAGTGTTGTGGGCACAAACCGAACAGGGACTGCCTGTCCGCCACACGGCACTGCGACAACACACAGGACATGACCTACCAAACTCCCGGTAGGCGCCTCACGACAGAGAATCTGGGAATCTCCCTTCCCCATCACGGAGCTACATAGTGCAGAACTACTGGTCTTGATTTAGCAGCCAGCTGTTGGCCAACACAACGGACTGTTCATTGGATAGAGGCTGAGAGCAGTACGGTCTCTGGACCCACCCCACCCCCTTACTCTGAACGCGGGTGCAAGTGCCCTCGCCAGCACCAGGTCTCCACGGGAGGTTTCTACACGCACACAAGTGAGACGAGGCAGGCAAGAACTCAGACTGTTCCACTGACACTAGGACAGAGATCTTTGTCCTGTGTCCTTCTACAGGGCGAAGAAACAGACACTGCAGAACCAAACAAAGCTGCTTTCACACTTGGTGCTGAACATACATAAAGGAACTAAGATTCACAAGTTGAAGGCCATGCATCCAACTCATCGGTAAATGAAATCCCTCAAAATTTAGACTTCTAGCAACTCAGTGACATTACTAAAGCAGATGTACATGACTTCTAACCCTTATGGTTGAAGGTGAAGTGATTACTTTACTCAGTTTTACAAAGTTCTCTGAAGGAGTTTTACTTATCTAGCTATTGAAACACTTTGATCCTCCTGCTGTCCATTACTTTGGTTTTCTAACCAAACTGAGTAGAAGAACAGTAATACCCAAGCACTTAAGTGAGACTGAACTGCACTTCATCCCCCCCACAGAACAGGAAAATCCAAGAAAGTTTCTACTGCTTTTATGAGACACTTACTGTGAGTGCCCAGTGCACTGAACAGGGGAAGGGAAGGGAAGCAGTGTAATGATACTTCAAAACTTTAAACACAGAAGTACATGAATCGTAACAAAACGATCCCATATATTAAACAAAAATAACTGTAACGGATTTGATACAGATATTGGCGAATCCCTGAATAATAACTTACTAAATTTAATTTATTCTGCTTAATTAGTATTCGTATGCTGACACAATATTCATTCTAGAACAAGATTATTCCTACTTTCTCCAGAATGTGTGATTATTACTGATTTTAAGGAATCAGAGTCAGAGAGGCAGAACACTTAAGGTGGGTTTTAGTACATTTTCCTTTGTCACTGCACCATTATAACTTCTCCCCAGTGTCTCTGTACATTTTACTATCTTCATGCCTTTTAGGGCACTATATCTAAACCTAAGAATGTCACACAGTATCAGACAACAAAAAATAACAGAGGGAAAGCGTATCTCTAGTACGTGTGCAGTCAAAGAAAAACAGAAAATCAAATTAAGTCATCAAATATTCAGCTCTGGAGTTGGAAGTGCTGCCTAACCTTGATAAAGTCTTTGATGAGCTGGGCTGCTTTCACCCCATTCTGTACATTAAAGCTTATATCAACTTTCACTTCTGTGAAGGAATCTGTCAGTTTGATAATAGGTACCTGCAAAAGAAAGAGAGATTAAGTCAATAAAGATTTCCAGCAGACATTTGGTTTCATTCATACTTATATGCATCAGTCAAACTGAAATGTTTTAGGAATTTGCAGAGGAGGCTGACAGAGAAAACAGAACTTCTCTCTGCTTAAGAGCTCATTCTCCTTGCCAATCTGTTTATGTAGACTTTGCTTTTCTAACTCATAAAGGTTATTTTCAATTTACTATCCAGTACAACAGAACTTAATGCTTCACCTCCAAAGTGCCTGATTTTAAACTGGTTTTACTCAGCTCCTGGTACCCACACCAGAGGGAGACAAACTCCGAGAAATAAATGGGAACAGACACTCTTAGGAAAAAACACACTAGGGTCATTGATTCCTTGTCAAAATTATCTTCAGACAAGACAAGATATGGAGAGTGCTGACCTATCTCCACCTCAGCTGTCTCCAAATTACCCCTCTACTAATAGCCATCCATCAGGCACCCGTTTAAACCCCGCTCCTACATACTCTTACAGTTAGCCAAAGGTAGGACGTTATAATGGAATCGATCCTCCCCTGTGCCAGACATACCACTACGTGTTTATGCAAGGCTCTGTGTGAAAATGTGTCATGTCTGCTTACTAGCAATAAGGAAAAATAAATAATTTACTTAGGTACAAACTCAGCCCAGAAATTCACAAGTCTAATCACACTCATTCACAGCAATAGCTAGTATAACCTCACTTAAAATCCAGCGTGTAAAAGCGCAAGTTGTGCAGCAGAGAAAACCCGATGATTTGCCCCAACAGAAGAAACGCATCTGTAGGAGCACTATCAATTATTCTGTCGCTAATAAAAACCTTACTAAATAATAGGGTTCCATTGGTTCTGCTTCAAATTTGTATATAAGGGGTTCTACTTATGAAAATCCATCCTTTTAACCACGTTCTTTCTTTGACTGGAAACTGAGTTTAGAACAGGGAAATACCCTCTTCCCCCAGACTTACAGTTGCTTTGTCTAAAACCTTTACTGAGTTTTCATCTGCTACATTGTGCTTTCTAAGAGCTTCTTCCAGGGTCCAAAGAGGTAACGTCTCCCATTTTCCAAACACAACTAAATCAATATCGCTGAAAAGGAAAGAAAACACAGGATTTATTCACATTAAAAGACCAATACACTGTAAAAATAAACAGCTGACATCCACACATAACTAGAATAAAGCTGACAGAATGTAGCTTAACCAAATAATTTAGTGTTCTGAGGAAAGGGGTGGGGATGAACTGTGACACTTGGGGAAATAGAGAACATCTCAGGTTACCAAGGGAGGGGACAGATACACAAATCAGTCAGGCTGTAGAGCCTGAGATCAGCCTCCGCAGGCCACAGTGTCCGCTGCTCCCTGCAGAGAGGGAGCAGCTTCTCCAGGTTCAGAGCAAGAAATGAGCTCCTTGCGGACCGCCACCTTCGGGCTGTATCAGTCAGTCACGCGGATTTAACAGCCCATCACCGAAAGGGAAAGTCCTGATCCCCATCTTCTACCCCCAGGTGCACGGTCACCTCCTTTTTCTAGGTCTGGCGTTTGTCTAATTCACAGCCAATCAATTCAACACATTAATGGGTCTGGCAGAAGACAACCCCCAACTGCCCCTCCCTCCCCCCTTAAAGAACATTCCGGGGTGATTTCCGGGCTCTCTGCGTCTCCAAGCTGGCTGTCTGGGCGAGCAGAGCACGCGTGGGCACGTGGTACGCAGCTGGCCTGCAGTGCCAACAACGGGGAGCAGGGAAGGAGAGAGGAAAGTGTCACAACTTTGACTTCAGGAAGCAATGAGCTGTTAAATAAGATCAAACCATCTAATTAATTTCACTCATTAACTCAGCTCCTTGAAGCGGTGTCTCCATCCTGCTACACTTCCTCCCTACACACACAGACGTTCATTTGACTACACAAGCCTGAACTCAGATTCCAAAAGGTGACCAGTGTCCAAACTGAAGCCCAAGAAGGCAAATGTGAGATCCCGAGCTTTTTCCTTGTTGCTCCCCACCCTGTTCCATTTCCCCTCCTTGACTGGGAACACAGCGGAGGCAAGCACCTAAGCCTACGGTTACACTAGCAGGCCACTCCAGTCATATGGAGAACTGCATGACAGGGAACACCCAGAAATTGAGGAATACTCCCCCCCCTGATTCTAGAGGTCTGCTGACTGACAGACAGCCCTGCTGTGACCATCTCCAGGACACTACCTGTGCACGAGATGAAGTATGTCGTGCCGACAAGCAGCGCCGGCCGCGGGCAAGTTCGGGGCGGGGCGGTTCA